GGTGGGAGAGGGGAGGGCAATGAAAATGATCAGGGGTTTGGAACAGGTCCCATATGAAGAGAGGCTAAAGAGACTGGGACTTTTCAGCTTAGAAAAGAGGAGACTGAGGGGGGATATGATAGAGGTCTATAAAAGCATGAGTGGTGTGGAGAGGGTGCATAAAGAAAAGTTCTTCATTAGTTCCCATAATAGAAGGACTAGAGGACACCAAATGAAATGAATGGGTAGCAGGCTTCAAACTAACAACAGAAAGTTCTTCTTCACAAAGCAAATGGTCAACCTGTGGAACTCCTTGCTGCAGGAGGCTGTGAAGGATAGAACTAGAACAGAGTTTAAAGAGAAGTGAGATAAAGTCATGGAGGTTGGGTCCATGGAGTGCTATTAGCCAGGGGGTAGAAATGGTGTCCCTGGCCTCTGTTTGTGGAAGGCTGGAGATGGATGGAACGAGACAAATGGCTTGGTCATTGTCTTCGGTCCATCCCCTCCAGGGTACCTACTGTTGGACGCTGTTGACAGAGGGGCTACTGGGCTAGATGGACCTTTGGTCTGACCCAGTACGGCCATTGTAAGCTCAGGGCTCAGGGTCGGGGGTCTCACTGGACCACCCTAATTTTCATGCACACTTGCTCCCGGGTGGCCAGGCCGGCAGCTCTCCTGCCCTAGACGGCCACTTTCCTGTGCCTAGTGCAGAGGTCATGGATGAGGTCCACGATGTCCGCACTAGACCAGGCGGGCGCCCACCTCTTGCAAACCTGGGCAGGCTCCTTGGAGCCGCCAGCCTGGTCCCGGGAAGAGGCGGAGGGCTGGGTGACAGCGGGTGGCTGGCTCGAGCCGTGCCAGGTGCAGGGTCTGCTGGCTGGGTGCTGGCAGGCTTGCACCTGGCACGGGCACCGTAGCCAGCCCGTGCCCCTTTAAGGGCTCCAGGGCTGGGAGGGAGGCAGAAGAGTTTCCCTGGTGGTGCCCAGAGTGGCCGCCAGGGAAAGCTGGGAAGGGCTAGCCTCCCACTAGTTCGAATTAAGTGGCTACACAGCCCTTAATTCGAACTAGTTAATTCGAACTAGGCGTTAGTCCTCATAGAATGAGGTTTACCTAATTCAAATTAAGCGCACCGCTAGTTCGAATTAAGTTCGAACTAGCGGTTTGCATGTGTAGCGCCTATCAAAGTTAATTCGAACTAACGTCTGTTAGTTCGAATTAACTTTGTAGTGTAGACATACCCAGACTGACTCCAGCTCAACTTCAACCCTCGACCTGCATCAGGACTCTGACTAAAATACTTATTTGGCTTGTCTATGGCAGCGATTCCTAAACCTCGGGAAGGAGAACTGAAGGCCAAGCCCCACCACCCCAGGCAGAGGGCCCAAAGCCAAAACCCACCATCCTGGGAGGTGGGAAAACTTGAGGATTTCAACCCTTGACAGTGGGGCTTGGACCTTTGTTTTAGCCCTGAGCCCCAATAAATCTAATGTTGGCCCTGTTAACCCTATTTAAATGGGGTCCTGACCGTAGTTTGAGGAACTCTGGTCTATGGATTTAGGTTTACCAGATGGCTTAACCCTGGTAAAAAAAAATTCTGTTTTTTTAAAAAAAGTGGGGAGAACAAAGTTGTTGAGGAAAAAGAAAAGGACCCTGAGAGTTATTAAGCAAAAACATTTTAAAATAAAAAAAAAATCCAGCATGGCCCCTTTAAGAAATGCTTTTGAGGCTTTTTTACCTTAACAGGCTGCCAGCGGCCATCCGCTATCTTGTCTTCCTGCTCCGGGCCAGACAGCTCCCCTGCAGAACCAGGTAAGCACCTGGGATTTTCGCCTCCTGGCCGGGAAAAAAATCAGAAAATACTGGACATTTTAGGTGTCCAGTATTTTCTGAATTTATTTTACCAGACAGGAGGCGAGAATACAGGACTGTCTGGGTCAATACCGGACACCTGGCAACCCTATATGGATTCTAACCTCAGTTCTGACCCAGGACCTGTCTCTGGACCTTGGTTTCAGTCCTCTCCTCAGGGGTCCAACCTTATGTCTGGCTTTGACTACCACTTCTACAACCAGGCCTGACTGCCTTGAACCAAAATGTGAAAACAGGGGCACTGGTTTTATGACTCATTATAATAATTTGTAGCATACCATACTGCATTTTACTCTTAATTGCCTGTAGATGCATAATAATCTAACCCCCAATAGCCCACTTCATTTTAAGTGACCACCTCCAATATTTGAATCCTCTTCTACTTAACCATCTATTCGAACTTCTGTTTAGCTATGGCTCTCTGCTTCCTTTTCTAGACTGAAAAAAGAGTTCTATTCAGTTTGAAACTTTCCACTAACCATATTTGGTTCAACAAAAGACATGACCTCACCTACCTTGTTTCACATATAATATAGAACAGGGGTGGGAAACCTTTTTTGAGTCGAGGATCGCGGACCCACAGAAAAATCAGTTGGAGGCCACACACAAGTGAGAAGCAAAAAAAAAACAAAAAACCCCTCACTGACATGGCCCCCTGACTGAGAAGGAAAAAGATACTCCCCACATCCCCTCACACATCAGAGCTTGGGGGGGGGGAGGGGCAGCCTAGTAGATTTTGTGTGCTCCAGCCCCTTGGTAGGGCGGTGGGGAGACTGTAGCACTGGTGCAGGTTCCCCAATGCTGGTGGGGGCCAAAAGTCACCGGGCCTGAGGTTCCCCGTCCTGATATAGAATAATTTTTCTGAAATTAAAAAGAATTTGCTTTCTGTTTATTCTAGTAAAACAGTAGGTTGTCTGCATTATGGACATATAACTTTTAGAACTAGGCATTTTATGATGCTAGTGTGACAAAGTGGGAATTTTATGTAGTTCAATTATGATGCTTGTGTGCATTTCCCCCCATATATTGTATGCTGTAGTCCATAGAGCTAGCTTGCCTTCATTATTTTCTGCCTCTATCCTGTAAGCAATTAGCTCTCTCAGCTAGCATAAGGCTTAAGGCCTGTGAACTTTGGTGCAGATAAACAGCCCAATGAAAAACCTTAAAATTTGAGAGCTAAAAATAGAACATTTAAGAGTAATTTCTGACCACAGGAACATGAGTCCAATGACAAAATGTCATGGCAACAAATTGGTGCACATGATAATAACAGGATCATGAGCTACCATCCACAGATCCAAAAGATGGCTATGACAACAAATTGATGTACATGATAATAAATTGAGATGATTGATATGCTAACCTATGGGAAAAGGACACCACAACATTACTTAAATGAGGAAATGCAAATAAGGAAAAGGGCAGAGCCCCGTATACAATATTTTTCAGGCATGGTGGTGTCAGTGTAACATATTATAAAAATTTTATCCCAGCCTACAGGCAGTAGGAGAGAGAAAAATGTAGCCCTTTGGAGGTCTCAGAATGATGGCCACTGAGGATAAGGGTGAAAGTGGTGGTGAAGAAGATGATGGCTAACATTTCTGGTTGTTGGGCAAGGAATGATGTGAGACTGTGGATGTCCGGATGTACATTTTGTAGTATCTCTATTTACCTTACTGAGTTGGAGTGTTTGAGACTGTGATAAAAGTTATAGTAAACTATTTATAAACTAAATGTAGAAGAGTTCCTATAGTGTGCGAGTTGCACATCAGGATTCCCAACTACATAATTAAATAATGCTGGGACAAGAACTCATTAGTCCTCCAAAGTGGGAATTCTTAAGTAATTAATATAATTAATGCATAATCTGTAGGTTAGACTACAATGGCTACCGAGTGGGGGAGAAAGGATTAAATTTGCACTCAGAGCAGAAAAGAAAAGGGATATAGGCATGTGTGTCACCTCTTGGTGAGATGGAATGAAGTGCTATTAAGAACTGTTTGAGACCAACCCATATCAAGAAGAGGGTCAGAGAGACAATGCAATACACTCACTCATGGACTTCTCCGCATCTCAGCAAGGAAGCTGAATGAGATCCCATTTTGAAAATTAAAGACTGAGAGGTGCAAAGAGAGAGAATAAGAGTGAACTCTGGAAGAAGGTCATGCTCACTCACATGGGGACTGACTAAATAGGCCAAACTGGGAGAAAAATTGAGCCAGAAAATGGATTTTATTGCAGTTTGACTGGGGCTCTCAGTGGATGAGAACTGGCCATGATTTAACCTAAGGACTTCTTATGGTGTGTTCCAGGTGACTAATAAACCCTACTGTTTTGAAACCACAACTTGAGTGTTCTTACAAATACTTGGTGACATGTATTAGTCCCTGAAGAGTGGACCACTCTCTACCAGGAGTGCTAAAGCCCAAAGGTTCAATCTCAGGCGTGGGTGAGGCTATGTAAAGACCAAGTGAGATCCCTTGTGATCTGGCACATCAAAGAGATTACTTCAAAGGACATTTTCAAATGCTGAGGGTGTAGCATTGATCCTGTGGACCCATGACAACTAGTATTACTGGATAAAAGCAAGGGCATCATTTTGGGAAGGTATGGGGGGCAGCAGCCAGGAAGGGAGCTCACCAGCCAGGTGTGAGAGGCCTGCACGGAATGCAAGCACTTTTCCCTCATTCCCTTAGCATCCAGGAAACAGGATGAAAAGCAAGTTGTGTCCTAGAGCGCACAGCTGCTGCCCCCACTTATCCTCCTTAAATGGTGCCCGTGGATAAAAGTCTGCCTTCCCATCAGTGTTACCAGTTGATTTGAGAGAATCCAGGGGAGAGAAAGAGGAAAAACCCTTAAGGAGGAGAACCAAAAATATGCAAATACACTTAATATTCCACAGAACCCCTGCAATGAAAAGCTTCTTTGGCCTTATATACCTGATTCTTTATTTTCTTGTTTTTGATGCTGTTTTTGTTGCTTTGTAATCTAGGTAAAAAGAAAATTGTTGGTGGGAAACCCAATAAAACCTTTGTTTTTGTCTCAAGACTTGAAGTTTCCAGAATGTTACAGACTTTCACACTGAAATCCTCCATGTTATGTCAATGAATTCCAAACACAGGGATAAGAAAGTCTTTTTTCTCCTCTTGTAGAATCAAGTGAACATGAAGAGAAGAGTACAGGTGCCTCAGGTGAGATTTCTTCCCAGCTTTATCCTGCACCAGTATACAGTCAGCCTGAAGAAGCAAAGGAGAATATGGATGTAACAAAGCAAACAAAACCTGAAGAGAATGATGAATTGGGCCCATTGCCTGATAATTGGGAAATGGCTTATACAGAAAAAGGGGAAGTCTACTTTATTGAGTGAGTCTTGTATATTTTTTTCTCTTTCTATTGAAAAGAGTATGTCTAACTGTGTATGGGGAAATTGTTTTGTACTGGGATGTTATATAATGCAGTAGTCAAAGATGAAAACACTGATCTGTATTTAAGAAAAGCTCATCTCAGTCAAAAGCTTTGGTTTCCATAGATGGTCAGCCTTTCATGCTCATATAAGCTGTAGGGTAAGGGCTAGATTCTTACTTTTTGTTCTTTAAAAAAATTAAATTTTAATTAAAAGATAGAATATAAACTTACAGATAAAACTGAAGTATACAAATCAAATAATATTTAAAAATAAGACACCTAAATGACTCAGAAATGGATAATGAGATCTGGAAAATCTCTAAGTCAGTGGATCAAATCCACATAGTAATCAAAAGTTTCTGATCACTGTTCAGTGACCATTGAAAAATGAACTGATAGTCTTTAAACAGCTATTGTGTCTGTCACTTTGGCTATATCTAGACTACATCCCACTGTCAACAGAGGAATGTAAATAAGCCTGATCGAAAGTGAAAATGAAGTGCAGATTCAAATATCCCGCACTTCATTTGCATATTTGCGTCCAATCACTGTTTCAAAAAAGGGTATTTTGAAAGTGAAACTTCAGTCTAGACGTGGTTCTTTCAGGAAAAAAAAACCCTTTTCCCCCCTTTTCGAAAGAACCCGCACGCCTCCTTTTTTCAGGAATATGGGTGCTTTCGAAAAAGGGTTTTATTTTCTAAAGAACCATGTGTAGACTGCCGTTTCACTTTCAAAATACCCTTTTTCGAAACAGCAATCGGACATAAATATGCAAATGAAGCACAGGATATTTAAATCTGCACTTCATTTGCACTTTTGATCAGGCTCATTTACATCCCTCTTTCAACAGAGGGATGTAGTCTAGACGTGCCCTAAATGGCAGCCATATTAGGATAGGAAATTGAATTAATATAAAGATACAGCTATTTTTTTACCTCCTAGTGTTGTCGTATGATGCTCCCCAGAGATACTTAACATTCTGAGGTACCTTACCCGCCCTTCACATGAAGTAATTTTCTCTGATGCCTTCTGTACCTCAGCTCGCTAAAACCAACAGTTTTTGGCCACAGACAAAGCACTTACTTCCACATTTCCCCAAACTCCACCCTCTCTGTGCATCTAGTGACACACACACACACACCAACCCTCAAGCCTGTCTGCCAGCATCCCTTCTGAAGTATTTAGCCTATGGCACCATTTCAGGAGGGTAGAGGCACTACAGCTGTGCATACAGGGATGCAGCTTGTTCTTCTTCCTCTTCCCCTCATGATCAAGATGCAAGTGTAAAGTGTACAACTTATGTCATTTATTCCTTTGGGCTCCCCCTCACCAGCTTGAGGGGGGAGAGCTATGTAGGTAAGATGTGTACTTTCCTCTTGCTCCCTGATCATGAGGGAAGGGAAGAAGACCAAGCAGCGTACTGGTACACATGTCTGTAGCAGTCCCCTGCCCTCTCAAAATGGCACACTTATATCTATCCCCTTTCTCTGGATACTCACAGAAATGATCAAGTAAGCTGTCTCTGAAAGAGACAGGGTATAAACAGCTTAACTGGTGCAACTCAGATCAGATCCCTTAGGACAACACAGCACTGGAATTTACTGGTTATATAGTTTATTTACTAGGTTAAGATTTAAGAGAAAGTGAGCAAGGATAACAAGAGCAACAGGTTACATGTATAACAAAAGATATAACTCACTTTTTAGACTCTATCTGAACTTTAGCAGGCTAAAGTTCTTGTGTAAAGCAATTTCTCACCTAAACAGCCTCCTAGAATCACTAGCCCACATGGCTAGGATCCAACTTTCATGAATGGACAAAGCACTGTCTTTTTTGCTTCCTCAGTGAAAGGATAAAAAAGAGGTCCTTTTCCCTTCCTCTTATAGTCCAGTAAACTTTTGAAATGCCCCTTTTGAAGTACACTCCCATATAGGATTCTCCTCTCCCATTGAATGTTCTCCAGTGTTCTCCCCTGTTGATTTCACATCCCTCTCTACAACATGTTTTTCCTGTTGACTTCACATGCAAATGGGACTTCTATTGTGTTGGCTTAATTTGCATGTGACAGAGAGTTATACATCTTATCTACTTTCTGGGAAAAAAACTGTTTGTGAACTCTTCCTGGTTACATAATTTAAAACTTATTTTTAGTTGTTATACAAAATTCCTTCTATACTAACCATACATACATCTCACAATGCTTATGAGGACCAATCTGATATATAGTCTCAGAAGAGTAGCCGTATTAGTCTGTAACTTTAAAAATGAGCAGTCCTGTGACACCTTAGAGACTAACAAATATATAGGATCATGAGCTTTTATGAGTAAAGCCAACTTCATCAGATGAGTTGAATTTGATACCTCTCATGACAGTCTTTATAGATGTATATTATGACATCAGTGCGTTAGGTTCAGAGAGATTGTAAGTCCTCACAAGAGTTGATGGTACAGAATTGAGCATGCTGCCAGTTCTTAAGGTTCTTGGTCACAATTCTTTCTGGGCAATGCACATTAGAGAGGAAAAACTGGAAGGAAGATTGAATTGCCATTGCTTGTATTATGTTTTCTGGTGGGAAAGGTAAGTGATTGAAGATGTCCATCCACTTCAGTGCACCAGAGTTAGAGATTTTTTTCCTTAATGGTATCTGTCAAGGCACCACATGTTCTCTCTGCAAGATGGTATCCAGGGCAGAGCCACCCCAACCCTTGTTCATTTCCTCCTACCACACATGATTGGTTGTCAGTACATGGTGGCTTGCTTCTGCAAATGGTCTTTCTTTCAGGGGATTTGCATTTTTTTCTCTTGTATATAGTAATGTGGTAATTTAACATAAGTCTCATTTGTTAATATTTTTTTCTGATTCAGAAGAATGTCAGTTCCCACTTCTTTCAGACGCTGACACCTGACACTGGGGAATGCCTAGGATTCTGAGGGTATGTCTAGACTACATGGCTCCGTCAACGGAGCCATGTAGATGAGGTTTCTAGACATAGGGAAATGAAGCGGTGATTTAAATAATTGCTAGTTCATTTACATCAAAATGGCTGCCGCGCTGTGCCAATCAGCTGTTTGGCGGCACAGCGCGGTAGTCTGGACGCTCCGCGGTTGATAAGGGAAGCCCTTGTCAACGCCCCAGTAAACCTCATGTCAGCATCCCTCCTTTGCCTCCCCTGCCCTGGACAGAAAGCAGGAACCTCCCAGGGGGAGGGGCAGCTCTAAGGCAAGAGGCAGGAGATGCACAGCAGTGAGGTGAAGGGGCAGCTGAAGTGCAGGCTCTTGATAGCCTCTTGGCCAAACCTGTCAGGATCACCTGTCAGAGGCTTTAAGATCTACCCGTAGATCCCAATCTACTGGGTGGTGACTCTCAACTCTTGTGTTCTCTCTCCCACACAAAGAAAGCAGTCAAGGAATCTATATCCAATTCAGATTTCATTGCTATATCTCAATTGGTTCTTACAACACCTTTGCTAGCTATCTGAGTTTAACCCCTTAAACACCGGGTGCTGGTCAGCACTCCTCCTGTTCATTACACCAGTGTGAAACTCATAAGTCAAACTTGAAAACACTAGGCCTACTGATTAGCATACAAAAGCTTTTGCCTGGTGCAGAAGATAGAGTTTATAGGGATAGTATTGAACTTAACCTAAGCCAGTGTGTTCAAGAGTCAAGATTCCAGGCTATTCAATCTCTCATAACAGACTTCAAGATTCATCCAGTCACAATAACCCAAGCTGTATGAGGCTCCTGGCCTTATGCACTTATGTAGAACAACATGCAAATCTGCACTTGCCCCTCCAGATGTGGCTGGTGTTATTTTACTGCCAAAGTCTCCATCATCCTAACACTGTGCTCACAGTACCGTTTTGGCTTCTAATTTTACTAAAACCTCTCAATGTTTGTGCAAATATTTATGTCCTCCACCCTTACTCTTTGATGACTCTGGTCTCAGATGCATTGGCTTTTGGGTGGGGAGCTCACCCTTCCAAACTCAGGACCTATGGTTTTCAAGGGATCTCATTCTTCACATGAATTTCAGAGAGTTCAGGATAGTTTGTCTTGCTTTCTAGGCCTTCCTATGTCATGTCTAGGTGGGAAACATACTTGTTCATGCAGAGAACACCATAGAAATGTTTTACCTCGATATTCAGAGTAAATATTACTCATTACTCTCTTACCAAGAAGTAGGAATGTTGAATTCAATCAGCCTCAACATCTTTTAACTTCTAGCAATGCGGAGGAGTTAACAGATTGCCTGAGAAGGTCATTTTCAAGTCCCTACAAGTGGTCTCTCTGCTCAGATGTAGCCAGATGCATTTTCCAACAGTGGTGATCTCCCTCGATCAGTGTCTCCAATCTTTTTAATCACAAGATCACTTTTTCGATTTAAGTGCAATTCAAGATCTACCTCAAACCCAAATACCCTTCCCCCACTTCCTTTCTGGCCCTTCTCTGAGGCCTCACCCTGCTCACTCCATCTCCCTTCCTCCCCCATCCTCACTCACTTGCACCAGCCTGGGTAGGGGGTTGGGGTGCAGGCTCTGGTCTTACGCCAAGGGTTCCAGCGTGTGGAAGGGGCTCCAGGTTTATTCCAGGGCAGAGGAGTGGAATCCAGGATGGGTTTCAGGGTGCAAGTTCTGGAAACGAGTTTGGGTGCAGGGGAACTCACATCTAGGCAGGAGGTTGGGTGTAGGAGGAGGTGCAGGGCTGGGACCAGGGTTCAGGAAGCAGGCTATGGCAGAGCACTGTTTAACTGAGATGGCTTCCAGGTAGTGGAGCAGTGGAGTTAAGGCAAGACCTGCACCACTCCTAAAAGCAGTTGGCATGGACAGCAATGGCTCTATGGTGCCATGTGCTGCCCCTCACGTGCAGGCACTGAGCCTATAGCTTTTGTTGGCCACAGTTCCCTGTTACTGATCAATGGGAGTTGCAGGAGTGGTGTCTGCAGGCAAGGATGGAA